TACATTGTTGAAGGCCTCCTCGGCGATGGCCAGACAGTCATCCTCGGCCTGGGTAATGCGAGAGACCAGCTCTGCTCGAGTCTTTAACTTCTTCACATCCTCGCTCTCACCCTCAGCATGAGCAGCGATGGCCTTTAGCTGCTCGACCAGATCCTCAACGACTTTCTTTTCTGCAACAAGGATATCTTTCTCCGCAAATAGCTCATCCTGACAGTTTTTTACCACCTCCTCGAAAGCCCTGAGCCGCTCCTTCTGAGACTTCTTAAACTTCTCTTCCAGGTCCACGACTGCAGCCTGGGCCTTCTTCAGCTCAGATTCATGGTGGGAACCCTCCTCAGTGTAAACCACTGCCATCCTCAGAACCATTATCAGGACAGAAGAATCCTGAGCAAGCATGATCCTTTTGCTCGGGTGGTCCATATCCTCGAGCTTCAAGGACTCCGCCCAAGGAATCACCAAAGAAGAACCCTCGAAGAATCTCTTGTTGTGCAGGCATGGAGGCAGCTCAAATCTGCTCTTCTCCCCCTTCTTGCTGAGGTCCACAATCTCGCCCGTACGTTGATGCTTGAGCCTTGAACTCACAGGCACGAGTGATGTCTAGACGGCCGGTGTAAACGAGAAGATCCCCGACCCAGTTTGAGGAGGAGGCGCTCGCTGGATGAGGCAACTCTTCTCGATCAATGCGCTTCCTTTAGCTTCCCCTGGGCATTCTTCATCATTCGCTCTTGAGAAGAAGACACGTTACTTGCAAAAAAACTAACACATTAATACGCGAAGAAAATAACAACTCAGATAAACTAAGAGGAAATAAAAGACTACCCAGAAGTTCTAAAGCCCCTGCACGAGTGCTTCACTCAAGGAGCTCTTTCGTATTGATATGTCGGGCCTCCACTTTGGGCCCCCCATCTTCTTCATAAATAATCTTCCCAGCACGGATCACGCACTGGGCGGGAAGAAAGTCGTCCACAAAAGCCACCAGCTTGGCATAGCTGGCTAGGTCGTCGTCCCCCAGCATGTGAGGAGTGATGATATAATCATTGATTGGACGGGTAAAATGAACCCCGCTCCATCAAAAGGGAAACTTGAACAACCTCCGCACAAGCACTTTGCCATGCTCGTCGACTAAGGCTTCCTCGCCCTCATCCGTCGAGACCTCCCAGACAAATGTTGAGTCGGTGGCCCTCTCCAACATGGGCTCAATGATATAAAACCTTTTTGTGAAAGTCCTAATGGACTCAAAAAAGGGTTTGAATAACTTCCTCCCCTGCTTCAGGGAGACCCAACTGAACTTCCTCCCCGAGACTTGTCGCTGAAGATGGAAGACAGTAAAGAAGAGAGGAAGGGTATCTTCAATCTCCAAATATTCACACACCAGCTCGAATTCCCGTATAAAGGAGATCGAGTTCGGATGCAGCTGCGAAGGCGCCAGGTACAGGGGCACAAAGACGACCCTCTGAAAATCCAAAAAGGGCAGCCTCAACCCTATCTCTTTGAAGACATATTCGTACATAGAGAACTTCTCCCTGTATGACGAGAAGATACAATCGCCCTCTCTAGGGAAATGGACCTTCCAATCTCCCTCATCCCCCACTAACATGAAAGCATCTTCGATGTAAGAGGCAAAGAGAGAGGCGTGCTCCCCAGGCTCTGCTACGGACCACTCCTCCGTAGTTGTCCTCGAAATGGGCACTTCACCAGCGTCCCGAGGCCTGGAAGTATCATCAGTCTCAGTATCCTCCGAGGAGCTCTCCTCGGACAGATCTATCAGGATTTCTTCTTCAGTTTCGTGTGATATCTTCTTTACCTGAAAAGAAGAGGATAAAAGTTAATTCGATGACAAATTCAAAATTCACCCTTCCACCGCTAGTTAAGTGAAAGGGCGCGTGAAGGCCCGAGGACAATGTTCCCGACCTAAGCCCTATTCGAATGGCACAGTTATGATACAAGGAGGCGCTCGGGACAATCCCTCTGACGCACGGGGGGAAAAGCCTCCTCAGTACAAACCTCAGAATTTCCATTGGGAAACCACCTGAAAGCTCATAAGCACACCAGAAATTCACGGGTTCTCACCGGAGGAGGACGCTTCCATGTCGCAACAACATTAGAATCAACTACACATCCTAAGCTTCTAAAAGCTCTGGCGACACCGACAGCAAAAGAAAGTGGCCAAACCACCGCCTGCCACCAACAGTCACCGGAAAACAACCCCTACACTACCTAGTTTCGCCTTGACCACATGCATTCTAAGAAGCATAAAGTAAACAAGCCTATGACAAGAAAGGAAATTTGGGGTCGAATGGCTCTGGCCGGTGAACGTACGACGATCGGACGGTATTGGACGGTGGCAGCGACGGATTACAGAAGCAGAAAACAAGAAGAGAGAGAAGCCAAAAGTGAAAATGAGCAGCTTCTCCCTTTATTTATAGATGGTCCATGGCACATGCACAAGCGCGCACAGCTAGGGGCATCATCATGACCTTAACCTAGCCATCATTACGCATAAAATGCGGTACATGACTCGAGTCACGCGTGGCGCATCACCTCTTCAGATCACATCAACCGTTGGGCTCCTCGTATTTTGAGCTCCCCGCCAAGCAACGTTGCAGGCCCCCGGGCATATATTCCCTCGGGCACCAAGTAACAACCTCATCTCAAAAACAGGCGACGACCTTGTCCGGTCCTCCCCGGGACTACGAACTACCCTTAAGTCATTACTCCCATGCTCGGGAGCAACGACTTGGGGGGCTCTTGTTCCGGACCGGCCTAATGGCTAAGCATAGCCCAATCTACTTATGCTCTTAGAACAACCCAATTTCCTAACTCCAACAAATTTGGGGGAGCATTTACCTTTCTGCCACTCCACTGAGGAAAGCAGGTCGATTGACCTCTAGGGTCAGCTGCCCCTCCTTAGCAGTTCCTGTCCGTCACGCACGGTTTTACCATCCAGAAACAATCATGACACTTGTGCCCGCTATTGCTCCTATGCCCGTAGCAACGACTAGTTTTGAACACCTTTACCCGTCCCAACGGATAGTTTCTGGCAGTTACCTATTCTTCAGGAAACAGTTATCTCGCCCTGAAAATAGGGACCAATGGCCAAGCGCTGGAGGCACTATAAAAACCCTCTCATTTGAGAGGGTCAATTATTCAATATTCATCATAATACACACATACTCTGTACTCGCTCTCTTTTCTCCCGATTCTCACTTTAGCATCAGAGTGCCTTGCAGGTACACTCCTTCCTCATCTCTGACATCCAACATCACAGACGTTGTCTTTGTCCTACTTCTGATTCTGATCATCCGTCAAGATTATAAAGTTTGGATTTTTAATTTCTCAAATTACTAATGTGAGTTTTATGTATATATGATAGTGAAGCATTCTCTAAAATAAGGGCGACAAGTGATTTATGTATGTGATTTTTATGTATATTATTTTTGTTGTAAATTATGTAAATCTTCTAGTAACATGAGTTTGCTATCATATTAGCCAAAGACTCAAACAACATGAAAATAGTGTCGAACATTAATATGAATACTTTCAACGAATTGAGAGTAAGATTGGAAAAAAAGCCAGACAATTGATAAACACTTGTAAGAAAAAATTAGGAAAGAGAAAGAGCATCGGAAACAAGTTTTACCTAGAATATTTTCACTTGTGAAATGTTTTTCTAAGAATAGTCTTGCCTATCGAGAATCCAATAAAAAATTATATCAAGAAAGCAATGACCATTTTCTTGGATTGATTTAAATGATTGCAGAATTTGAATTGATAATACAATATCATGTGAGATGCAATTATGATCATAAAATTCATTATCATTATCTTGGACATAAAATTTAAAATGAAATTATTTTTCTTTTGTCAATTATTAAGATTATTAAAGGGGTAAAATATTTTTTTATAATTCTTAATTGTAACTCTAATGCGAGTCATTAATTAGTGTATTTTTTAATACATCATATTTTACTTTGTATTAGGATATTTTTATGATTTATTGCTTTTTTTAATATATTTTTTAAGTTTAGCTTATTTTTGTTTTTATTTTAATTATATTATTTATTTTCTGAATAAATAATAATTTGACACCTTTTCGCTGTACATGTCACAACTTGAGCTACTGGATGTCATTTGACGCATTTTAATATGTGTTGGAAAACTGAGAGAATAAACTATAAATTTTGTGTTGAAGTTAAAAGGTAAATCATAGTTAAGAATAGTCGAATACTGTGTTTTCGTACCATACTGTATAAATTAATTAGAGCCCAATTTCTCTTTTATTATTTAAACAAATTTCACAGTCTTTAGAGCATTCATTCAATTTTTACAAAATAGAGAATAGAGCATACAAGTTCTATGAAAAACTAATCATTTGAGAATGATTTGTTGTATTCAGATTCCACAACTATGAGGTTTCTATAATTGTCAATCCAATTTCGATTTCTTTTCAATTCTCCCTATAAATTGATTGTTTAATTTGATTGTTACTTATAAAATATAATTGATTAAATTTGATTGTGCTCGTGTTCCTTAACTTTAACCGCGTTTCGTATAGTATTTTCCGTTAATTCATGTGATCTTTAACCATTTACTTAATTTGAAAAATAGGATCATAAACCATATAATATAAATTGCGCTTGTTTAATCAATGTTGTAATCGAATAAGATCGAATCCAATTAGAAAATTGAAATTATAAGAATCAATGATAAGTCGAAAATCGAACCAATACATTGACTTATTTACCGCATTTGTTTTAATTTACCTTTTTACAATAAATCCCCCATTAATTCAACCACTTGATTAATTTAAGTCAAGAGTTCTTGCAATACGACTCTAATATCACTTCTAGTAGTTAGAATATCATCTCATATGCATTTACATTCACATTTCCCACATTCATATCTTAAAAGCTTAATTTATTTATTAAACTAATAACACCATAAATCATTTCTCTTAATTCTAAATAGAAAAACAAAACAACAACAAGAACAAACCGCAATTAAAACTGATAATTTTCATCCACCACATCAACACTAGCACAGCAAGACAAAAACCTTCGAAAAATCCCAAACAAAACAGAGCAAGAACTCTTTTTATCTTTCTTCCAACCCAAACTTTTCTTCTTAACAACCACACGTTTCTTCGCTTTCACCTTCACTTTCTTCTTCTTCTCATCTTCTCTGCAAAATGTGTAGCTTCTCAGATACAATTGTCTGCAAGAGATGCTATCCACCACCCTCGGATGCTCTCTGCCGGAACTCACTGACCTCACGAAAGCAGCATCTGATTCCGGCCATTTGTAGAGGTTCACGTAGCTACCTCTCACCGGAACACGTGGGTCACGTGCATCGTTGATGCAGTTCGGTATGCAACCAGAGTTCATGGTGGAATTTTTTCACGCTATCAATCACTCTGTTTTTTATGCGTTGTTATTATGACATTTTACAACGCTTATTATAAAATGCGTTTTTGTTGGAGCCATAAGCCGCCAAAACAAAGGCTAATGGAAGAATCATGTTTTTCATTTTTTATTTATTTATTTATTCTTTGCTTGCCTTTTCTGTTCTTATGATGTGACTCTCTTATTTTTATTATTAAAATAATAAATTGCCTTTTCTGCACGAAGCTTCCAAGGGAAAATAAATTTTAAGAGATTTTTGTTTTTGTAATTTTGTTGTGAGAAATGGAGGGGAGGAGTTGGTCCAATAGGGGATGGGAATGGACAATGTTAAATTTGTTTTCAACAAGGCAAATATTTGTTGTTTATTCAATTTGTAATTTAATAGTATTAATACTATATGTTAAAATAAATTTACACTTGCTAAAGTTATTGCACCGGTCTCTATATAAGTAATCATTGGCAGTTAACTACTCAATTGAATAATAACAACTAGTTTCAACTAATCTCTTTCATATGAAATTTGAGTTATTAAGAGATCTAGTATTAAAAGTAGAAATAAAGGAAAGAAATACAATTAGTTTTAAGAATTAATTTATTTACATTGTGTTTATATTTGAAAATAAATAATTGGTTAGTCGAAATTGGCAAATAGATAAGTTACTATTAGACAATGTTTATTCAATCGATCGAAAGTTAGGTGAGTATAAATACAAAGTCAAATGTATTTAAAGTTTTTCATAGTCTACAAAAGTCGTGTAAATGTTAGAATTAGTCAAAGTTCACTATGATTTTATAGCACCACTTATAAAAAAAAATTAAATGTAAGGAGTTACGCAGACGTGGATAAAAAGAAATAGAAAATATAATGAAACTAAAGAATCAATCTGAACGTGGGGCGTCATGCACCCTCAGTAACGGAAAAAATCATGTATCACCAACATAAATAGTCGAGCAAGTGTAAATTTTGTAGACCACATTGTTTTGGCTAATAAAAAAGTGTTTGTTTATTTTCAACATGCGCAGTTAATCAAACTAACTAATTTATACATTTTGTATCCCTTAATCTTTATGACTTTATCTTACGTTTTATAAATTTTTTGTTTAACAGGTCAATCATTGTATTTAATTATCTATGAAGTAGTTAAAGAACCCACAATAAAAGGACAAAGTTTAGGACAAAGTGTTTTTCTTATTGTAATCTCTTCAAGAAAATATAGTCAATGTTGAGAGCTATTAGTCAATACCTTGGATAACTTTCAATTCAAAAACAGAATTGGCACGCTCGGTAGGGCACAACAACGATAAGCACTAAAAACAAATCAGTTCTCCAGGTCATTGCTATATTTGGTTTATGCACATGCATTTAGAAAGAAAAAAATTGCAACATAAATCAATCGTCCATCAACATCAAAGTGGCTTGGCCAACAATAACCTAAAGAATTGCCACAAATGTTGGGAGTGCCAACATCCTCGGCTTCTCTCATTCATTTTAGAGACATGTTCAGTGATCCACCTGAAACATAGTGGTAATAGTAACCTCTTTTATTTGACATATGATAGACAAAAGATACGTGAAATCATGTATCAAGTATCTCAACAACTTACTGACATTGTTAAACTCATGGTTCATATAATGTTGTTTAAAAAGCCAAATTTGGAGGCTAAATGAGCCAATTTTGATGACAATTATATCACTTCTAAAATTTAAGAAGTTGAAGGGGGCCAAGGTCAAACCTACATTATTACTTAAAGTTATTTGGTCATTGCAATGACATGAACGTCACTAGCTCATATACCTCATGCACTTTGTATTTCTTTAAATTCTTAGCATTCTACATTTTCCATAGTTCATCCTGAGGGGAATCAATAGCAAATAATATGTTTAATTAGAATAATATTCAAATTGGACATGTGCATATAAAGTAGTTACACAAATTGACATATTGCATGTTTCGCCTTACAACAACACTTTGTAAGCAAACAATATTGGAAAAGTGGCTCCAAGCACAAGAAGGGGTGAATTGTGGTATTTAAAATTTGTGATTAACATTAAGTTTTTGTTACTTAAGAAGTTAATTGTATTAGTATTTTTAAGATCATAATAAATAGCAGCAAAAACTAAAAGCGGTAAAGTGAATTGCAGAAAGTAATATAGGGTTAGAGGGATGGCATCAAAGAACTATCCAGGTTCGGCCGAATGTTGACCTACTCTTATACCCCAGAGATCTTCTTGAGATTTGAATGTAAATTTGAGATTTTATAGGTTATGCCCATGAACCTTTGATACAAGCAGATCTAGAGATTTTACAATGACTTGTCCCCAACCAAAAGATAACTTTTACATGGGCTGAGCTAACAAACTGATTAGATATTTTTCAGACAGATCTTGATAACCAAACAAAACTTTTTCACGCTAAGTTCTAGAACCAAACAGAGATTTTAAGAGTGATTAATCTTAATAACCAAACTCAACTTTTCAAGAATATTGCACTCTTGAGTGTAGTAACAGTAGCATGACACCAATACAAAATTTTCCTTACAAGCAGTTTTCACTCACAAGGCACCAAGGCAACTTTGGTGAAAAAATGTGTGTGTGTGTGTGTGTGTGTGAGAGAGAGAGAGAGAGAGAGAGAGAGAGAGAGTGAGTGAGAGAGAGAGAGAAAGAAGAGAGATAAATTCTAAAGGAATACATAAATTTGAAACTTTAGTGTGTAATGAAGAGGAAAGGTGTCTCCTTTATATGATAGAAGAATTCGCTCAAAAAGGAAACAATCAATGGGCTAATTAAACAATATAATTAATTAGGTCCTAATTCTAATCAATTAGATACCTCAAAAAAATCAATTATTTGTGCAAAGTTTTGAATAATTGGATAGAGAGTTGTTACTAATCATCAAGACACAATCATAATCAATTATATAATTAATTTTTCTTTTCCTAATCAATTAATTGTATGATATAATCAAATAGATAGTTCAAATAAATGCTTTGAATGAAGATTAAAGTTTCCTAATCAACTGGCTAAGGCTTGAAAACATATTTAGGTGTTTTTTTGGTTAAAAATATGTATTTAAAAAGGTTGTGTGTGTGTGTGCGTGTGTGTGTGTGTTTCCTTAGTAAGCTTCTCCTTTTTCACAACTCTAAAGCGTTCAAGTTCCTTTGTCAGATACACCGATCATATAAACATTTCAATGAAACTTTAAGTCTCCTACTTGACATGGCTTAAGATGTATTAAAGTTGATCACCGTCATCAGAGAGTTGAAAAATTATTACCACCGACTTTAACAATCATTGGTGTTTTTGTCATCAAAATGTCTAAGGAAGTTGTCAGTGGGATCATCAGCTTCATACATGAAAGTACATAGATCCACATTATCCACTTTTTTATGATGAAAATGCATCTATCAAGGAAGTGGTAAAAGAAAATACATGTATACAAGATATTTAGTTGTTATACTATTCATGACATTAGTAGAGAGTATACACTACTCTCTCTAAGAGTATACTTCTCCCTCTTAGGCATAATAAAAATGGAGGGAAAACAAGTATAGAACATAGATCATAACACATCATTTAGAGAAATGAAAGAAAAAGAAGAAGGAGAAGAGACACATAGGCATACTAATCCATGCATGATTTATTTAAGATTCTTAGTTTCGTTCTTATGAAAAATAAGTTTTGTTTAGGAAAATGTTTTGTAAAAATGTTTACGAGTTGATTAGATGAGGTAAAAAATTCAAAGATACATTCCCGTTTTTTAACGTGATCCCTAATAAAACGGTGCTTGGCTACAATATGTTTTTCCCGAGATTGAAGTATCGAGTTTTTAGTGATGTTTATGGCGTTAATGTTGTCGCATCTTGTCTGGACAACTCTAAGATTAACACTTTAATCATTGGATTTTTGTTTCATCCAGATAAACCTGAGAGCAACAACTGCCCATAACAATTATTCTGCCTTAGCGTTGGATAATGCAACACTTGCTTGTTTCTTACTATGCTAATAGACAAGTGATTTCCCAAGTAAGTGACACATACTGCTGATACTTTTCCTATCCAATATGCACATAGAAAAACCTAAACTTGTGTACCCCAATAAGTAACAATCTTTTCCCTTTGGATACCATAAACCTATATGTTGTGTGCTAGTGAGATATTTTATGATGTGTTTAGTTGCACTGAGATATGATTCTTTCGGGGATGCTTGAAAGTGAGCACATAGACATACAACAAACATGATATCAAAACAGTGTGTAGTAAGATAGAGAAGATAGCCTATCATACCTCGGTATTTTCTTTCTTCAATTGGTTTTCCATTTTTGTCCTTTTCAAGGTTGCATGATGTAGACAAAGGAGTTTCTATTACTTTGGACTTCTCCATGTCAAACCACATTATTAATTATTTACAATATTTGGCTTAATTGATGAATGTTCTTTCCTTAGTTTAGAAGTACCAGTAAATATCAAAGCTCCCCAATCATTGACATTTTGAATTCGTTCTGCATCATTTTAGAGAATTTCTTGCACAAAGATTCATTAGTAGCACCAAATATAATATCATCGACATAAATTTGATCTAATAAAATGTCATGTTCATTTTTATTGATAAAAATACTTTTATTAACTTGTCCTCATTATAACTTGTTTTGAAGCAGGAGCTTGCAATCCTACCAAGCTCATGAAGCTTGTTTCAATCCGTACAAAGTTTTCTTAAGTTTGAAGATATTATCGGGAAAGTTTGAGTTGATAAACCTGGAGGTTGGTCAACATATACCTCCTCTTTGATGCAACCATTTAGAAAATCACTTTTCACATCCATTTGAAATATTTTGAAGTTCATAATGCAAGAGAATGCTAATAACATCCTTATGGCCTATAATCTAGCTACAAGAGCATAGGTTTCATCAAAATCTATTTCTTTTTGTTAATTGTAACCCTTAGCAATGAGTCTGGCCTTATTTCTTAAAACATTTTCATATTCG